AGATAGTATTTCATTAGTCTATGTAAACAAACCTCATCACTTGAGAAGGTAGGTGATGAGGACGTCGTGGAAGACATTTTGTTCCGTAACGCTCGCCGTACTGTTGGGGGGGAGAAGCGGTGGGGGGGAGATGTTCATGTTGCTGCAGTCTGACCGCTAGATGTCGCTAAAATTACACACTGTAGCTTTAATCTGTTTCAACAAAATAAAAAAAGGTGCAGATGTGACCTGGAAGAAAGTTGATTTGGTAGATTTTACTGAAGAAAAATGTGAACTGGGTGCATATATATGTATTAAGCTCCTTATAGGCTGATAACCTTGAACAAGATTTACTGCTATGAGTATTGGCGTTCCTAGTCATCAGGTTATGGCTACAGCAAAACAGACTTAAATCGGTGGCAATCTAACTTTTGACACCAACCAAGGAGTCGGTTCCAACAGCTCTCAGAGCAACCTGTAGTCGGAGCGCCACTGTTTTTTTTTTTGTTTTTTTTGTTTTTTACAGTGTCCTGTCTGGAAATGTGGCAATAAGAATAATTGTCTTGATGCCAAAAAGAGCCCAACAGATTTTACTTTCACAAGTGTAGCAGTATGGTAATTGCCATATTGCTCCACTTGTTTCATGCATATAAATTGCTTTATTATAATTATGCAGGGAGTTTTATAGTTTATGTGGACACTGCAATGTAAATAGAGCAGAAAAACAGAAGAAGAAAAGGAAAAAAGAAAAAAAAGAGAATAGATGAAAGAAAGAAGAGATAGAAAGGAGACAATGACAAAACATTTTCAGTCTGCTTCATCACCTGTAACGAGATGAAAAAAAGAACAGCATAACCGAAAGACATGGTACGAGATATACAATAAAGCAACAACTTCAAACTATCGCTAAAGTAATATTATTAAGTCTGACATGTAGATATGAATGTGGGGTTCCTGTTTGGAAGTGAATCTCTGAGTACCTGGAGCCAAGCACCTGTAATTGTTTGTGAGGGTGGACTTGTGCATGTAAAGTTTATCCATAGAAGAAGAAAAAAAAAAAGCTCAATAGTGGTTGTGGAGAGCCGAAGAGGCGCACCGCCCAGAGCACTGAGTCCAGCGCCGGGAGACCCAAAGCCAGGAAGGACCCAAATCAGACCCCCACCAAGGGAGGAGGAGAGACAGCCGCGAAGAAGCCCCCCAGCCACCGCCATGCCGACGCCCCGGGGAGCCGCGGGGACGAGTCCGTGGCCTCTGCCGGCAGCCGGTCACCCCAAAGTAGTACCGGGCACCGAGCGCCACTGTTTTAACGTTGTATACAAATCAGTGACCCACCATCCAGTCTCCAGGACCTTAGATTAAAGACAGCAAAAAAACAGAGTCTGGGTCACTAGTTCACTTTCCAACAGGAGATCAACCGTGAATTTACCACTGAAAAATATAATGCAACCGCTTTTGGCATTTACTTAATCATATTCAGTTACTCTAACACAATTGTTTTATGTCCTACCTTGCTAATATGAAACAATTGTGTTAAAGTAACTAAATATGATTAAGTAAATGCCAAAAATGGTTGCATTATTTTTTCAGATGAAAACATAGAATAGAATACAATAGAATACAATAAACTAAAAAATCCCTTTATTGTCCCACAATGAGGAAATTCTGTATTTTTTACAGCAGCAAAAAGATTAAAGAAAAAAAATGGTCACACAAATGTGGACCTTAGAAAACATTTATAAAAATAACATATAATAAAATACTGTACTATAAAGTGTTTTAACAATATAAATATTGTGCACCTTCAAAATAAATAAACAATATACAGCTATGGACATTTTTACAGTAATGGATATTTGAAAATAATTAATATATTTGAAATATTTAAAAATAATAATAAAAACACATTAGAATGACAGAGTTAACCACCAGACCTTAATACTACTTAATCTGTGGCCAAACCTGCTGCTCATAGAATCTTTAACTAGATTGCAAAGAAAAAGTGCAAAGAGCTGCGACATGATCATAAAATGTATTCTTTGGTTCGGAGGATAAATTGTCCTTTAGCTCCCAAACGGGGCCAGTTTTACAGCACCTAATGCTATAAATAATGTTCTGTGACAGCCGTAGCGCACACATATATCAGCTCAAATATTCATATAAACCTTCCCCTCTTAACACCGTGACCTCAAGCGCCATGTCATTCCGCCACCCTAACTCCTAAATAACTGCTCGGATCTCTTGCAGAACAGGATGACATGTCAGAAGGTCATGGCACTGATTGGTAATAAAACAGCTGTGTGCAGGTTGAATGAACACCAGACAATCTGATGTGGATCTATAAAGCAGCAGAGCCATATACCTCATATATTCCATATTTATACCACACAATTTAACATATATCTTTCCTTTGAAGATATAGAATTATGAAATCTAGCATATTATTTATGACTAAATTTTGTTTTTAGATTTGAGGTAATGTTTTTTTTTTTCTATAAATTCTAATCTTAGGTCCAGTGCCACCCGATTCAGATGGATCCAGAATTACTATGGAGAGCAAGACGAGTGGGCCCTGGATGACATCTACATCGGCCAGCAGTGTCCCAACATGTGCCATGGACATGGGTGGTGCGACCACGGACATTGCAGGCTAGTCCTTCCGCCTGAATTATAAATGTATGTTGGATGAAATTTAAATGTACAACTGGATAAAAGTCAGTCTCTTGTCTTGTGCAGGTGTGATGACGGGTTCTCCGGACAGGACTGCCAGCCATCGTCCCCACTCTCCTCGAGTGTCCTCTCAGACTTTGAGTCCCAGGACGCACTACTAGCCACATGGCAGGAGGTGATTGGTGGAGAGGTGGTGGCACCTGACATGGGCTGTGGGGTTGTCTCATCTGGATCATCCCTCTACTTCAGCAAGGTAAACAAATGAGAAATGTTGTTTTTAGGTTTTATCGTTTCAAGACAAAATATAGATCAAGATGGAACATGTTGTAAATTTATGTGATTAAATTTAATAGATTTGGATAACTGTCCAATCTTGGCTAACGCAGGCATTGTCTGGTTGCTGTCCAGTCTTCTTTGCCAAGATCCACTGGTCTCTGAACTCTCATGATTTACCCATAAAATAAATCTCTACAGAGTTTATGAATCTGATTGGATAGGGGATGTGCACCACTTTAAGGTGATAACACAGCTGTTAACACTGCTTTTAGTGGATTGTAAATCAGGCTTCCTAGCTGCAGCTGCATTATTTTATTAGTGTCATTCAGGATGTTTTTAGTTTCAGTACTGATAACAAATTCACACTTAAGGATTGATGATAAGGTTTCTATTCAAGTCAATTCAGTTTCTATTCAACATATGTCATCTCAAGGCACTTTACAGCTCACCAAATCATACGAACAAATTGATTCAAAGTTTTCTATCTAAGGAAAACAAGTTGATTGCATCGACTCATTGACACTTCAGCAATCTCTTACACTAA